GAACAGTGAGCTGCTGGCATGAATTCTAGAATTGCATTAATCCTCCCTAAACCCAGGGGCCCAAATACCTGTCATGGCCCAGTCATGGGTAGCAGTCTGAGGCCTGTCCTGTGTTGTTAGCACTCTCCTGCACACCCCTGTCCTTAGGCCACCACTGATATGCCTCCTGTCTCTCTGTAGATTAGCTTCCATTGTCTAGAGTATTGCTGGTACCCTTTTGTGTGCTCTTTTCACTCAAAATTATTTTGAGACTCATGTGGTTGGTGCGTCCGAAGTTTTTACTGCCAAATGGTATTCCATTTGGGATGTTCACAATTGATTTATCCTCTCATTTGTTGATGGACATTTGGTCACTTCTAGTTTTGCAGGGCTTTTTTTTTTTTAATCAAGGATTGAACTCAGGGGCACTCAACCACTGAGCCATATCCCCAGCCCCCTCCTTTTTTTTCCATTTTTGTTTGTATTTTATTTAGAAACAGGTTCTCAAGGGACTAAGGATAGCTCAGTGCTTGCCTCACATAAACAAGAGCCTGGATTCAATCCCCAGCACCAACACCAAAAAAAAAAAAAAAAAAAAAAATAGAGACAGGGTCTCGCTGAGTTGCTTAGCACCTCACCATTGCTGAGGCTGTCTTTGAACTCACGATCCTCCTGTCTTAGCCTCCTGAGCTTCTGGGATTACAGGCATGTGCCACTGCACACAGCTTTGCAGGGGTTTTGTAGTTTATTTTGCAGTACTAGAACCCAGGGTTGCTTCATTACCAAGCCACATTCCCAGCCCTTTTTATTTTGAGACAGGGTCTTACCAAGTTGCTTAGGGCCTCCATAAAGCAGCTATGAACGTCTGGGTACAGCTGTGTGTGTAGACATATATATTTCCTTTGGGGTAAATGCCTAGAAGTGAAATAACTTTTTAGGAAACTGCCATACTGTTTTCCAAAACGACCATATAGTTTTATGTGTTGGGGGAGTTCCAGCAGTTGCATATCCTCACCAACATTGGTGTGATCAGTCTTTTAAGTTGTAGACATCCTGGAAAGTGTGCAGTGTGTCTCATTGTGATTCTAATTGGTATTTTCCTAGTGACTGATTGTGTGAGCCTCTTTTTACCTGTGGACTTTCTTTGGCAGAGTGCCAATCACAACTTTTGCTTATTTTTTTTTTTCATTGATATATGTTTGTTTTCCTAGAATGATCAAATTAATGTAAAACATGTTAGTTGCCTCTCAGAGCTAGTGATGCCCCCCCCCCATCTTTTGCAGAGTTGCCGGGTTTCTGTTCTCACGACTAAAAGGCTCAGGGGTCACTCTAGTTAAACTGGGCTAACTGGGCTGCAAGAAATAACCACACAAGAGACACAAATACCTTTTTCTTTGGGGTCGCTGTGATGGCTCCTCTGACCTTAAAGGTCTGCAGAAAGAGAGAGAGAGCACGCGCTGACCCCTTTTATTGAGGAGAAGCTGTTCAAATGAGGCAAGGGGTCAGGTTTCAGGGTGCTGAGTCTGTCTTCATGATGTCCACTGTCAGCAGGTTGACTGACACCTGGGTAGGCCACACCCAAGGGCACAGTAAGAGAAGGGGACACGCACAAGGCACTTCCATGGAAGGTTCTATCCTAAACAGGGCAAGGGGTTATATTACAAAGGAACAGGTGGGCATAGCTTCACCATGGGGCTGTAGCAAGACACACCCATTTCTGTGACTGAACGCCTCAGCACCCAGCTGGGGAGTGTAACTCAGTCACCGGTAAGGTTGGCCTCCCACACAGAGTGGTAGTCAAGTCTTCAGTCTGACTCACAGAGCCCTGGGTTGGCTATGTGACCCTTTCTGGCTTGGGTCCTACTGGCCTCCTTGCCATGGCCTGGTGAGCAGACAGTCCTTGGAGTGTGGCCTCTTCCTCACCTGGAACTTCTCTGGGAGGCCTACCAGCCCACCTTGTCTGCCCCACCTTGCATCCCCTCTCCTGGCTGTTTTCACAGTCTTCCTGCTACATACTTTTCTTAATTATTATGCTGATAGGGTATTGACTGTGCCCTTTCACTAGAGTGTAAATTCAGTTCTTGTTCTGGATCACAAGTGACTAGAACAGTCCCTAGCTGGCTGCTGTTCAAAGCAGAGTCCATCTGGCTCTAGGGCCCTGATTCTGGCCTGTCTCTCCCTCTTTTAATTGATGTGTGGTTGGCATACAATGGGTTCATGGATTTTCAGTATGTGTTTTGCTTGTGTTTATACCCACATGACCACACAGGTGTCACTAGTTACCACAAAGAGGTCCGTTGTGTCCCTTCGCATTCAGTGTCTCCACCTGCTCCAGTGCTCTGTTGCTGCGCGTTGACCTCCCCTGCTTGTGAACTTCACACGGATGCAGCCATACTGTGTGCAGCCTTGCACCGGGCTCTGGGCTCAGCATCGTGTTCTTGCAGGCCTCAGTACTCTGTTATTTTTCTATTCCATGTTTTAATTTGTTCTTTCTTCTGTTGGTGGCCATGGAGATTCTTTCTATTTGGGGGCTATTGTAGATGAAACTGCTTTGAATCTTCTTGTGCCTATCTTTGTGGTCTGTGCCTTGGTTTCTCTGGGGTCCTCTTGGGAGCAGTCATGGGAGGAGGTGTGTGTATGTAACATCTAGTCATGAACTTCCACGCAGCTGTCTTGAGTAATCATACCATTTTGTGCCTTAAAATGGGATTAAGCCACATATGGGATTTCTGGTTGCTGCACATATTCATCTACTTGTGGAGTTGTCAGTCTTCATAATTTTAGTGCAAAGTTGTTTACTGAGTAGAAAAACTGATCTAAGTAGGATCTCATCAGTGTCAAGTGTCAGGACCCCTCAGGCTTTGAATGCTGCATCCTAAGTGCGTGAAAGGTTCCTGCCAGTGACACATGGACTGACAGAAGCCCTGGGTGGATACCTAGTTCAGCCTCCTAACCCTGAGACACCTTCAGTCACAATGACTTTCCTGACTCTGTCAGTCTCAGAACTATAGTTAGGAGTCTTTCTAAAAAATGTGTTTAAATGTGAGATCTTGGAGAAAACTTAAATTGGGGGCTGGACCAGGATAGGTCTATGTTTGCATCTCTGCTCAAGTACTTTTTATGTGACCTTGGACAAGTTTCTTAATTCTTCCCAGCATCCTTATCTGTAAAATGGACACAATACCCAGCCTTTGGAATCATGGTGAAGGCTGAATGAGTCAGTGAAATGTGGGGCAGCTGCTGGGGCAAGGGAGGTGTTTAAGGAGTGACAGGGTTGTTCTTTCGCTTTGGAGAATTAGAACGTGTTGGAGACCTCAGATACCCCTTGAGTCAATACTGTTACACACACGCACACAAAAAAAAACTTACCATACTGTTTGCAATGGTATTAAAATCACTATGGAGGGAGCTGAATTGTAGCTCAGTGGTAAAGCGCTTGCCTAGCACATGTGAGGTATGAGTTCAATCCTTAGCACCACATAAAGATATTGTGTCCATCTACAACTAAAAAAAAAAAAAAAATTTTAGAAAATCACTGTGTTGGGTTTCATCTCTCAGCCAACACTAAAGACATCCAGTCTAGCTGTTGCCTTACCTAAGGTGCTGGACCTTTCCTGGTTCTTGTTTTTATTGGGTGCTGTGGTATGAAGGTTTGTTTGGCCTGCCATGTGTTCTTCCTTCCTAACATAATTCTGCCATATTATCCTACAATATCATATATCATGAGTGAGGAAGGCTGGCCCAGAGCCCCATGAGACATAAGAGAGCAGAGGAGTAGGTGCAGAGCAAGTAACGGACATGTGTCCCAGTTTCACTCCTGGGAGCTTTTGTCTTACAGTGAGTTTATTCAGCACCAGCAGATCAGTCTGGAGGTGGAAAATGTTTGCTTGTGAAACAGAGATAAACCTAACCCATCAGCAGCATTCATAATTAGCAGCCTCAAATGAGAAATAAAACTGGGCACATGCAGTCGCCATTTGCTTATCCCCATCTTGTTCCCCTTCCTTCCTAACCATGAAGGTTCAACTATGTTTCTTAGTTACCAATGTGTGAACTGTACTGATACACGTGGCATAGGGAGAGCCTGGTTGGGGTCGGGGCAGGGGTGAGGGGGTGACACCTGTATTCTGAAGGGAAGGGAGAGCCTGGGATGCTGCAGGCAAGAGGGAGAGATTTGGGAGACAAGTGTGTGGACCCACGTGGCTGTGGCTGAACCAGCAGGACTGATCTCAGAGGATGCCACTACTGGCTGGGGAGGTGTTCGCTGGTGGGAGCACTGCTAGCTGAAGAGGTGACTGGACTTCAGGTACAAGGATGGACAACAAGAGATGGGCCCAGAGAGCCACAGCTGGGGAGAGAGCAAACATAAATAGAGTCTGAAACCCAGGCCTTGTCATGTCTCTGGGCATCAGCATCCCTTACGTGTCCCTGTTCTCTGGTACCTTGCCAAGGAGATGACAGGAAGACTCTAGCTGCTGTGACTGGAAGTGAGAAGCAGCACCCAGATCTGCCTCCTAGCTCCTATAGGAGGACAGGGTAGCCCTGCCAGGAGGCAGCCACAGCAGACAGAGGGTGATCCTATCACTTTTAGTCAAAGGCAGTTTTCTTATGCGGCCCTGAAGGTTTTCTAGAAAAAAAATTCAGGTGCAAGTGAATTTGTGACCATTTAAATCATGTCCTGCCAGGTGGTCCTCTGATGTGTTCGTGTGGATTATCTCCACGTTGTCAAAACTCCCATGTATGAAGGCTTCAGGTGTGCCTAGGTGGCAGGTGGAGGAAGACCTGGGTGGGCAAATAATGGCACCACCCCCCTCCTCCTGCCCTGAGCTTGTTGGCTTTGGCTTGGGGTAGTTGGGCTTGCACAGAGATTAATGGAGTAATAACATGCCTTTGTTCACTTCTCAAGTATACAAATCAAATAAAGGGACATGTTTTTGCTGAAGGGGAACACTGTGGACTGAGAGTGGCTTCCTCACGTTCTTTCCTGGTAGAGCAGGTCCTCCCATCAGACTCAATTCCTCATAAATTCCTTGTATTTGACACAGTCTTCTTTCTCTGTATTTTTCTAGGCTATTCAGCTTGACCCTGAAGAAGCTTGTCATGCTAAAAGAAATGGACAAAGATCTTAACTCAGTGGTCATTGCGGTGAAGCTGCAGGTGAGTTGGACAGTATGTGCTCGAGGCCCAGGGAAGCCGGATGGCCATCTGCCCACTACTGGGGCTTCAGAAAGCCCCTGGGGGCCACATATCTCTCTTCCTCAGCTAAGCACACGACCTTCTGAGTCTCAGTTCTGCCTCTTAGCATGGCACTTACCTCCTTTCAGTTTACTTTCTCACACAAGTGCCCTTCCTGCCTGCCAGGGCCCCTGAGAGAGGCCAGAGTGTTTTATGAACTGCTCAGTGATGACTAGTGTGGCTGTTGCCAGTTTCTGTCTTAGTCCTAGGACATCGGGGTCAGGAGGCACATTGGAGGTTTTCCATAGGGTGGAAGAAACTGGCAGTATAACATGTGCTGGGATATTTATCTTCTGGACAATAACATTTAACTCCTTATACTTAATAACACTTAATTCAGTATTCTCAAGGAACTCAGATACTTCACCAGTGTTCATACTCTAAGTATTCCTGAATTCAGGAAAAGAAGAAGGAGGAATAGCTGCAGCGGTGTGGAGGAGCTTCCCTGGGCCAGCTAATAACCATGTGGCAGAGCTGGGACTGGAAACCAGAGACTGCAGTTTGTTTCATTAAACTCCATTACACAGACCTTCCTCCACAAAGCCTTTCTAATGATGACTCCCTGGAGCTTAGTGAGATTCCAAAGTGCCTCTGCAGTCATTAAGTAAGGACTGAATTCTTCAGCTTGAGGATGGTGTACTTACTGAATCATATTCATTGAAAAATGATGAGCTAGGGCTGGGGATGTGGCTCAAGCGGTAGCGCGCTCGCCTGGCATGCGTGCAGCCTGGGTTCGATCCTCAGCACCACATACCAACAAAGATGTTGTGTCCGCCGAGAACTAAAAAATAAATATTAAAAATTCTCTCTCTCTCTCCTCTCTCACTCTCTCTTTAAAAAAAAAAAAAAAGAAAGAAAGAAAGAAAAATGATGAGCTAAATATGGCAACTCCCGACTAACCAACTATTAGCTGGTGCAACTGTTGGCAGAAATTTATTGTGCTAATACTGGCTCCATTAAAATCCCCATCCGAGGTCCTCACAGTGTGGGAATCATACATTGAGCTCCTCAGGTCCTTTTGGTCCTGTTTTGGGGAAAACTTGAACTGTTTCCAGCATTCTTTGTGGATTCCTGCATGTCCCACCTTATATTCTGATTCCCTATTATATGTCCTTCCAAATCTGTGAAGCATTCCCAGACACTGTGTGTTGGAAAAAACAAATGTGAGAGAGAAATGATGTGAAGGGGAAGCTTTTAGCATCTTGTCCTCCTTTCCTGGTTTTGTCCCCATTTCTAAGTCACAGGCAGTGTTCCAGTTTTCAAGAGTTGTTTCCTTTGCTGAAAGCTGTTGTTTTCCCTCCAAACACTGTTGGTATGGTTTTCAGCATTCCCTGGTTGCTTTTGCCTTTTCTGCAGTTAAATCCTTTTGCCAAAAAAATTTACTTATTTTATTTCCCAATTAGATGTTTAATACTCTATAAATTACACTAAAAACTGTAAATATGCTGGGTATTCTTTTATTATTTTACTTCCAAGCAACTGAAAGTAACTACAGATATTATCACATACATTTATTTAGTCACCTGATTATTCATTCATTTAATAATTACTTACTGAGCATCTCTTTATATGCCAAATATTGTTCCAGGCACTAGGAATATAGGAGTGGGAGCCTGGGGGCAGTGGGTAGGCTCCTCAAAGTCAGGCAAAAAATCCCTGACTGAGGAGCCTAGGGCTAGGGATGAAGCTCAAGGGGAGGAGCACCTCTCAGTAGTGCCCCAGGGAACCAAGCCTTTAACACCGGAGCCTTTGGGGGTGGGGGGACAGTCATCCAAACAATCATACCACCACATGCAAAATTAAGAGAAAGCCAGCTTCACTTAGGAATGAATGTCCCTTAGGAAGGTGTAAAAACTGCCAAATTACTGTCACCCAACCCTGATGCACATCTGTGTGCTACTGTGATGAAACAGGCAGTGTGCAGGGTACACTTGCAGGCCACAGGGAAGCACAGTGACACATGCCTATCAACTCTGCTGCTTTTTCACAGGATACTTTTTTCTACTTGAAGAAAGTCTCAAACTGGTTGTTGAGACTCAAGTAATTGGAAGGGATCTCAATAACCAGCAAGGTGGGTCTGTGGCTTCAAGGAGGCACCCAGGGATCATTGCCAACAATAAAATTTGAGCTTTCAAGTGAAATTCATAATTTTGGAAAAAACCTGCCTGTGTCACTGTAAATCTAACAGCTTCCAGATTCTTAAAGGCTTTGTGAGGAGAAAAGAGGAGGTGTTAATGATCTTGATTATATAAGGCAATTGTCTCTCACAAAGGATTTGCATAACTGAATGAATCAGCATTTTCCAAATGACCAATGCATGAGGCTGTGAAACCAAGCTGGATAAAGATTCATTAAAAGAACAGATCGATTGATTGGAATTTACTATTAACTTTTTATTTTAAGATAATTCTCACTGTACAAAAGAAATGCAGGGCAGGGTTGGGATTGTAGCTTAGCAGTAGAGCACTTGCCTTGCACTTGTGAGGTACTGGGTTCCATCCTCGGCACCACATAAAAAATAAATAAACAAAATAAATAAAGATTTTGTGTCCATCTTTAAAAAGGGGGGTGGCTAGTACAAAAAGTTTCTGTACCACTCATTCGGTTGCTCCCAATATTTATCTTTCTCTGTCATAGTACATTTATCAAAACTAAGAAATTATCATAGCTGGGCATGGTGGCGCAAGCCTGTAATCACAGGGGCTTGGGAGGCTGAGGCAGGAGGATCACAAGTTTGAAACCAGCCTCAGCAACTTAGCAAAGCCCTAAGCAACTCACTGAGATCCTGTCTCTAAATAAAATATGAAAAAGAGCTGGGGATGTAGCTCAATGGTCAAGCGCCACTGGACTCGATCCCTGGTACCAAAAGAAAAGAAAAGAAATAAAGAAACTATCATTAATATAGTACTATTAATTAAGTCACAGAGTTTATTCAGATTTCCTACTTTTTCCATTGATGTCCTTTTTTCATTAATTGATTGGATTTTGATATATGAATGCAAAAGTCTTATTGATATAGTTTACAATTCTACTTTGCAACTAACCTTTAAGAGGCTACCTCATGGGGCTAGGGCTGTAGCTCAGGGGTAGAGCGCTTGCCTTGCATGTAGGAGGCACTGAGTTTGATCCTCAGCACCACATAAAAAAATAAATAGGGAGCTGTGGTTGTGGCTCAGTGGTAGAGCACTTACCTAGCATGTGTGATGCACTGGGTTCTATTCTCAGCACCATATTAAATAAATAAATAAGCAAAATAAAGGTATCGTGTCCATATATAAAATAAATAAAGATAAAGCAGAAAAATATTTTAAAATAAAAGAAATAAAGGGATTGATTCCAACTACAACTAAAAAGTGTTTTTAAAGATTTGCAGAAATGTAACTTCATATCCTCTCCTTCATACATTTCTACTGGGAATGTTAAGTAGTGCAACCACTTGGGAAAACAGTCTGGTAGTTCCTCAAAATATTACCATGTTACCTAGAATTCCACTTCCAGGTCATACCCAAGACATATGCCTATGTCCATAGCAGCACTATTCACAGTACTAAAAAGTGGAAACAACCTAAGTCCATCAACTGGTGAGTAGATAGGTAACATAGGGTCTCTTCATACAGTGGAATATTATTTAGCAATAAAAAGAATGAGATACATCCATTTGATTCAACAAATATGCGCCTTCAAAACATTATGCTAGCTGGGCTGGCTGCAGTGGCACACACCTGTAATCCCGGAAACCCGGAGGCTATCAGGAGGAACACAAGTTCAAAGCCAGTCTCAGCAACTTAGCAAAACCTTATTTCAAAATAAATAAATAAGGCTGGGGGTGTGGCTCAGTGGTAGAGAACTTGCCTAGCATGTATCAGGCCCCGAGTTTGAACCCCCTGCACTACAAAAAAATTAAAATAAAATAAAATAACATTATGCTAAGTGAATGAAGCCAGTTACAAATGACCACATATTATATGATTCTATTTATATGAAATGACTAGAATGAGAAAGTACATATAGAATATATGAAAAGCCCTGCAACCAGAAAGTAGAAAAATGGCAGCACAGGGCAAGGGAAGAGAGGTGAGTGGCTGGAGAATGCCTCTGTGAAGTGGTGAGAATGTTCTGATTCAGTGCTGATGATTAATTATGTGCTTTAAATGGGTGAATTTTATGGTATTTGAATTATATCCCAATAAAAATGTAATTTAAAAGCCTGTGCCATCTCACAAAATTATTTTGGTTTTGGAAAATATATTTTTATTAAATACCTGTTGGTAAATATGCAATCTGTTCATTGTGTTATTTTTAATTTTTTAATATTTATATTTTAGTTGTAGTTGGACACAATACCTTTATTTTATTTTATTTTATTTATTTTTATGTGGTGCTAAGGATTGAACCCAGAGCCTTGTGCATGCTAGGCAAGCGCTCTACCCCTGAGCCACAACCCCAAGCACTCATTATGTTATTTTTAAATGAACTAATACATACTTTAAAATATCTGCTTTAATTCATACTGTAGTAAATATTGACATGTAAACAAAGCTGTTTGGACCCTAAGTAATTTTTGAAGCATGTAAAAAGTTCCAGAGACCAGTTGGGCACAGTGGCTCGTGCCTTAAGTCCAGCAGCTCGGAAGGCTGAGGCAGGAATATTACTAATTCAAAGCCAGCCTCAGTAAAATCAAGGCACTAGGCAACTTGTTGAGCCCCTGTCTCTAAATAAAATACAAAATAAGGCTGGGGATGTGGCTTAGTGGATGAGTGCCCTGAGTTCAATCCCTGGTACTCCCACCCCCCAAAAAAGAAATGTTTGCAGATGTGTATAGCACAAGGGCTGCTGCTATTGGAAGGTGAAATGTCCTGTGAGTAAATAAATAATGTAAGATAAGGGGTGAGGAGTGCTGGATGGAGGAAATTAACAAATTACATATGGTGGTCAGAGAGCTCCAATGGACAAGATGCACAGATTTAGAGGGAGAGAGCTGTGTGTATGCTTAGAAGAAGAACATTCCAGGTGCAGGGAAAGCCAGTGGAAAGCCCTGCACAGGTATGGCTTGCGTGTGTCAGGCTTGATTCAAATAAGTACAGCTAAAACTGGTGAAATGTTTGGAGTGAGAATGTTGTAGCCTTTAGAAGTTGTTTTTCATGGCTTCAGGGGTCAAAAAGAATACTTCGCTCCAACGAGATCATCCTGCCAGCTAGTGGCCTGGTGGAGACAGAGCTCCAGTTAACCTTCTCTCTTCAGGTAAGAATCTTCTAGCTCTTTAGTCTAACATGCCACTGCCAGTCTAGTTCCCAAACAGTGCTCAAACCTGGAAACTGCTTTCCCCAACAGGAGCAGAGCAGTCCCTCAGTCTGCCACAGTGGTGTGCTCAGACAGGCTATGCTGCTGAGACGTGTGCTGCAGCTCAGGCTTCCTTCCCTTGCCTTAGATAAAGCCATAGCCATCTACTGTGCCTTGCCACCCACTCACCCCTCTCCTTAGTGACCCACAGCACATAGCCCAGCAGTCTTCTGTTACCCCTTGTGATCCACATCCTCCCCTTCCTCATCCCCCTGGCACATCTCTCACCGTTATCCCAGTAGCCCACATTGAAAAGCATGGAGAAAACACCTGACCAGATGGCAAGGGGAGAGGCAGTTCTGAAACTGTGTGGAGCCTAGAACTGTTGGGGAGCCAGGCACCAGGCAGAGCCAGCCCTCCAGCACTTCTTTCTCCCCTGACCACCCCCTGCACAGATGGTAGAAACCAAAGCACACGAGGGCTGTGTCCTGTAGCAGGACTCCAACCCCCCGCACCCCCCAAGACACGGTGGCTTAGCAACTGTCTGGATTCTGTTTGTGCTCCTAGTACCCTCATTTCCTTAAGCGAGATGCCAACAAGCTGCAGATCATGTTGCAAAGGAGGAAGCGGTACAAGAACCGGACCATCTTGGGCTATAAGACCTTGGCTGTGGGACTCATCAACATGGCAGAGGTGAGCAGAGAGTAGTCTTAAACTGCTGGCCTGTAGGTCAGAGAGCCAGGACATGCGCAGGGCCCAGCTGTTCATGCCCAGCATGTGATTTCCCCAGTCTGCAGGCAGGTGTTCAATTTCACTTTGTAAGTTATTTTGTTGGAAATTTAGGGTATACCTCTTTTTATCACTTTCTTCTTCACAAGTTTTTTCTCTCTTTTGTTGTGGTGGTGGTGGTGGTGGTGGTTGGTGGTGATTGTGGTTGTTGTTGTTTGAGATGGGGTCTTACTAGGTTGCCCAAGCTGGCCCCAAACTCCTGGGCTCAAGTGATCCTCCTGCCTCAGACTCCAAAGTAGCTGGGACTCCAGGCTTATACCACCTTGTCCAGTTCTAACTTTAAAAAAATAAAGAATATTATGAAGAATTCTCCTGTGCCAAATTCACCCAGATTCTTAATTTGTTAGCTTATTACCACCATTGCCTTATTATCCTGTGTCCCTTTGTGTGTATCACTTTCTTTTCTGAACCATTTGAGAGTAAGTTGCAGGCGTGGCCACCCCATTGCACATTACTAGTGCACTAGGTTAATTTCCTAAGAACAAGATGCTCTCCTTCCCGAGCTCCGTGCCTCCATAACAGGACACTGACACTGTCTCACCCCAGCCCCCAGTCAGATGGTGCTGAATGTCTCAGTAACCTGAGATCTGATCTAGGAGTCCAGATTGTGTTTCGTCACTGTGTCTCTTTGCCCTCCTTCAGCATGTGGAGTCCCCCAGTATTCCTTGTCTTTCATGACCTCCTGGGTTTGAGAGTCCAGGTTCCTCAGTCAGGTTTATCTTACCATTGTCTCAAGATTAGGTTCTGTTTGTGCAGTTTTGACAGAATTACCTACCTAAGTAGGGTTGCTGCATGGTGTTGATTTGTGCCTTGACTGGTGGTAATAAATTTTATCACTGAGCAAAGATGGTATCTGCCAGGATTTTCCACTATAAAATTAATGAGTAAGTATTTTGTATTTATTAACAAAAAATATTCTATGTAGAGTTATTTTGAGGCTATGTAACTTATCTTTTTCACCAACTAGTTTGAGCATCTATTAATGATTCCTGCCTAAACTGGTTAGTACTTTGATGCCTGCTGAACTGTGAATATCTAATCCTACCCTTCCTCCTGTGTTACCAGTTGGCTTCTGTTATAAGATGGAGCATTCTCTTCTCCCCCTATTTACCAGTTGATTAACTTATTTGTACCAGTTATACAGGTGGGTTCCTAAAAGGACATTTATTTGATGGGAATTAATATGCTACTACATACTTACTTATTTTGATATTCCATTTGTCTCAGATCTGGCCAGTGGGAACCCCTAAAAGCTGCCTTTCATGCCCTTTTTGATATGGCCCTTCATTTTTCACATACTTTTCTCTCTGGCACAAAATATTCCAAGCTCATCTTGTTCTTTCCCTAATCCAACCCCTGGAATGAACTCATCCTCTGAGAAGTCCTGGGTTTTTTGTAGTGGAGAATGGTATTTAAAAACCAAGATGTACTGGCTTTCATGCATGGGCCTTGTTGCTCCCGCTGCCTCTGCACACGTGCATGCACATGTGTGTGTGCATGTGTGCTCGCAGACACTCCTGCACCATGTCCCTTCCACATCTGGCCTCTCACCATGAGCACAATGGTAGCTTCGGTTCCAGCATAGCCATGGGCTTTTCCAGTTATCCCCTTCCACATTTCTAATTCCCTTCTCCAACAGGGAGAAGGAGGCTCCCATTTTTTTTTTTTTTTCAGCGTTTTGCTGCTTGTGCAGTTCTCCTGTGTGCCAGGTGAATCCCCTCAGCCCTAACAAAATCTAAGGAGAAAGGAGCTGCAAGTCAGGTTTTTCTTTGTTGTTGTTACCAGGGGTTGAACCACTTAGGGATACTTAACTACTGAGCCACATCCCCAGCCCCCTTTTAAAAAAAAAAAAAACATTTTATTTAGAGACAGAGTTTCGCTGAGTTGCTTAGGCTGAGTTGCTTAAGCTAGCTTTGAACTCAAGATCCTCTTGCCTCAGCCTCATGAACCATTGCTGCACATTAGTTTTAAAAATTATTTTGGTACTTTAATAAATTAAATAGGGAAAAGTTTGTGTCCTAGTAGAATATGTGAGATAGTCCTGACCCATCTTTCTGTCCTCTTCAGATTTTATAACAAAGTGAGAGATTTGAGGGTCAGTGGATTAATGCCAACACCCCATTTTCCCCACTTTGTCAAATCCTGCCATTTCCCTGTTCTCTGACCCTTATTCCTCATTGCCAGAGTCAGATGACCACCACTTGTAGGATGAGCCCCACCAGCCTTGAGAACTAGTTTGTCTGTGAAGTACTTAAGCTAACATGCAGTCCCTAAGGATTAACAACCATTTTCAGTCTCAGGCTTGGATTACCAGCTGTAAGTACATGGCCCTGACCAGTGGCTGGCACTTCTGGAGATAGCTGTTTGGTTTGGGTGTTTTGTTTTGTTTGAGATGGGACCTCACTACATTACCTAGGCTAGCCTCAAATTCCTGAGCTCAAGACCTTCTTCCTTAGCCTCCCATGTAGCTGGGGCAATAGGCATGCGCTACTTTGCCCGGCTTGGCAATAGTTTTAAAGTAAAAGCTTGAAGGCAGTAGGAGTACAGTAGGTGTTGACTTAGAAATGAGAAGGAAAATGTGTCAGCAGAATGCCCTTGTCACTGGCTTGCTCGCTCATTTGTATTAATAAAAATAACAGCCCTGTGACCTGCATGAAGGAGCTTCCACTGCCACTCTGCTCGCAGGTGATGCAGCACCCTCACGAAGGCGCTCTGGTGCTGGGCCTGCACAGCAATGTGAAGGACGTCTCAGTGCCAGTGGCAGAAATAAAGATCTATTCACTGTCCAGCCAGCCCATTGACCATGAAGGAATCAAGTCCAAGCTGTCTGGTGAGATATATGCAGTGTCTGGGGACGCATGGGAAACAAGGGTGCCTGTCCCCTGATCTCTGTCCTGGGAAAGCTTAGCAAGGCCTTCCTGAGATGTGTCCAGGCAAGAGAAGCTTGGAGATCCCTGGAAATAGTGTGGCCATGGCCATGGGCCTCCCCTCCTCTTCTCTGCAGCCCATGTGTGCTGCCTTCTGATCATCAAAGTCTCTTAGGCAGATGTTCCAGGGCAAGTCTGTCTCACTCATGTGTCTGTTCCAGATCGTTCTCCTGATATTGACAACTATTCTGAGGAAGAGGAGGAAAGCTTCTCATCAGAGCAGGAAGGCAGTGATGATCCCTTGCATGGGCAGGTAGCTTCCCACGGCCTTTTCTATGAAGTACCTGAGAAGCTTCTGGGATTTCATGGCCTCATTCCATCCCCTGTCCACTTAGGACCTGTTCTATGAAGATGAAGATCTACGGAAAGTAAAGAAGACCCGAAGGAAGCTGACCTCAACCTCAGCCATCACGAGGGTGAGCCACCCAGGTGGTGCAGCCGAGGCCCTCATCTCAGGTGGGAGGGGAGTGGTGCGTTTAGATCTAGTGGGGCTTTTGAAAATCTGTCAGCTCAGGGCTATCTCATCAAGGTTTCCATTCAGCCCCAAGTCCCTACCCCACTGCCCACTAAGAAGCAGCATGGTAGGAAGCCACTTTGGCAGACAGGGCAGTGCGGGCTTCAGGTTCTGCAGTCTAGAAGAAAGGCGGAGTACACTTCTTCCAGAGTTGGAAAACAGGTGCTTGGGGGAGTGGGGGGCGGGCAAAATACTCAGACCCCTCACCTCCCCTCTCCAGGCAGGTGCTACAGAGAGAAGACCAGCTATCTCTAGGGAGTGCAGATAGGCTGTCCTTTACTGAACTTACCCAGAAATAATAGACAACTACCTGCAAACTCCAGAGCTGGGTTCATTAAGGTTTGATTACATTAGAAATAGATATAAATATATAGTTCTGCTTCATGGATCCATAACCTTGGAAAACAAATGCCTTTGGATTATGTTTCCTGCAGAAGGTTTCCTCAAGAGTCCCTAATTTTTGTAAAATTCAAGTCCTAGACAGAGAAGCTAAGATCCAAAATTTCCAGGGACCTCTGATTGATCCTGAAGGCCCTGTTCCAGCATGCAGGAGTCAGGAATACCAGGGGGTTTTAGGAGAGAAATTCCCAGTTTCATTTCCCCCAAAGGCATTCTGATTCTCTTGAGTGCAGAGCCAGCCTAGGGACTGACACCCTGAGAGTGAGGGGCCCTTTCCCTTTGGAGTAGAGCATAGGTCAGCCCTTCCAGAGGTGTATCCAAGCCTGGCAACCCACTGTGAAACAAGGCCATCACCTCTGCAGGCAGCCTCAGGAGCCCCCGGGCCTGTGTTTCCATACAAACCCTCAACAAAGTGACCTTGATTTCCCCTCCACATCAATGGTTGGGGAACAGGAGAACTGCTCCCTTATCCCATTGTACTTAAGTACCTCAGGCACCCAGAGCCCCAACCTAGCCCCTCCCTCCATAACACTCTGAGAAGATGGAGAGGCTGAAGCTCCTTAGGTTGGGCTTTTCTCTTTCCTACTCTGTAGCCACCAGGAGGCCCACAAAGGGTGCCCCTGGGCTTTCTGAGTCATCTCTTCTTATGTTTCCTGCCATAGTGTCCCCCGGTGTACAACCAGAGATCAGTTTCCCTGTCAACATCCTCCCCCAGGGATGGTTCTGGATGTGGCAGGCACTCTCCAGTTGTGTTTCTGGACTCTCAGCGATTGCCCTTGGCTTGCTTTCCTCAGTGTACCTTCTCTCTCCACCAAGAGCACATTCCAGATGTTAATCTGTGTACTGTGCTGATAGTCAAGCTTCTCCTGTCATTGTGAACTCAAGGGTACAGGCCCTTTCTGCCCTCTTTGAAGGCCTTTCAGTTTTATTTGCAAATCAGTTGCGTCCATCCCCAGTTTGAGTCTCATTCAGGCAAGAAATACTTATGTCCACAAACTAAGTCTAGATTTCCAAACGGGACAGAGATCAGTGAGGCTGGTCAGTGCTGTCAGAGAGCTCCAATGTCTGCTCACACTCATCTCTGCAAGTAGCTACAACACAGCAGGATGGCACTGTGAGGCTGAACTCACATAAGAGACAGTCGTGACACTAAGGGGAAGGCGACCACATCTGATAGTGTCTCAGATGAGATGCCAAGAGATGGGCACATACACCATCACCAGGTGGATTTGGGGACTACTTGTGTTCAAGGCAGAAGACTCTGTGCACAGAGGCAGTGTGGGGCTGAACGGTATTCTCCAGGCATCAGCAGCAAGCTGCCACTGGGCCAGGGATGAGGAGTGGGTGAGGCTAGAGACAGGCAAGACTGCCCTTGGACACCGACAGACCTGATCCTAGGCCTTGTTCCAGAGAACAGGCCAGCCAGAGTGGGGTAGCATGATCAGATTTGCCTCTGGAAGGACGAAGGCCGATACAGTGGCCCTGGGGAAATGCTAGAAAAGGCTTGGGTGAAGGCAGTGGTGTCACAGGTGCTGACCAGACAGCCGGAGTGGGCCAGCGTGGGCTTGGAGGGCACTCCAGGTTTGGACTCAATGACTGGCAGATTGGGATGTCACTGACTGGGGTTGCACATGCAAGAAGAGGACAAATGTCATTCTAGGGACTGAGTATATGACAGGACTCTCACCAGAGCAAGGGATGAGCTGGCGGTGCACACCTGGGAGTTGTCAGGGTGCCATGGAAACCTGGGAACAGACAGAACCTCCTCTCAAAGCTGCGCATAGGGCTCTAGGACCTGTGCTATGATTGGCTGTGCTTGGGCCTGTCTTCCCTGGGAGGATTCAGTGCTGAGGCCAGGAGACGTCTCTTCCTGTCCTCTCGCCATTCCCTGCAAGGATGGGCTCTGTTGCCTTGGACTGACCACCAGTGAATGTCATTTGAAAATTACTGTGCAATTTGTCTCCACAGCAACCTAACATCAAACAGAAGTTTGTGGCCCTCCTAAAGCGGTTCAAAGTTTCTGATGAGGTATGGCCCCTTGCCCCTGAGGTTGATGGTGAGTAGAATTCCTGGAGCTCCCCACCTTGTTCCTGTGTAGCACTGGGAGTCTGCCTCCTGGCATGCCTAGTAAAGCATTGAGGGAGAGGGAGGCTAAGCAAGACATTCCACTCCTGGAAAGAGGGAGGAGCTTCACACCTCATGTGCAGCTTTGCAGTGTCTGGAGACAGCACAGTGGTGTCCAGCCACTAATTAATACAGGGCATCTGGCTTGGGATGTCAGCAACAAATCTAGCTGCTGCTGTTGATTTTCTCTCATCCCCTAATGGAAACGTCAGTGAGCACCAGCCAGCCTGCAAGATCAAAAGTCCTCGATGGTTAGCTCTTGAGCCACCAGGAATGGACCACTGATAGAAAAGCCATCTCTTCTGGGTTATGGATGTTCTAGGGCTCTGCATTTGAGCCAAAGCTCAAGTGAGGCCAGAGCTCCTCCATAGCCTGCTTCCTGACACCTTTCCTCCCTCAGCCATAATGCCCCCAGCACCCACCTTCACTCTTCCCGTCCAGAGGATCTTAGTTCTTCATCCTTTCTGAACCTCCAAGTCCCAGGCACAGATTCACTTTTTGCCTCGGTGGACTGAAAAGGGGATAATGGTGAAAGTTGTTCAGAGAGTAGGTCTTTGTCCTTCTGTGGACCACAGGGGAAGGCAGAACTAGTCGCCCACATGAACCTGGCTTCTGGGTTTTCTTGGCCCGTTTCTTGGGAGAGGCATATTAGCACTCAGTTTTCCTCCTGGTGCAGGGTCCTGTTATAGATGACAGGGAGACCTGAGAGGGGAAGGTGTCCTTACTACATCCCTGCTCTCAGGGTTGGACCACAAGAGGACATCAGGACTATTCTACCAAGTGTGACTCTGTGGCATATCCTTTTAGAGGGCATATTACGCAGGCTAGTTGACATGTGGCCCAGAAGAAAGGAATTGCTACCATAATTTTTAACAGGAAGAACCCCTCAAAGATCCTTTTTCTACACACAGGTGGGCTTTGGGCTGGAGCATGTGTCCCGGGAGCAGATTCGGGAGGTGGAGGAGGACTTGGATGAGCTGTATGACAGCCTGGAAATGTACAACCCCAGCGACAGCGGCCCTGAGATGGAGGAGACGGAGAGCATCCTCAGCACCCCAAAGCCAAAGCTCAAGTGAGGCCAGAGCTCCTCCATAGCTGCTTCCTGACACCTTTCCTCCTTCAGCCATAATGCCCCCTGCATTCACCCTCACTGTTCCCATCCAGGGGATCTTAGTTGTTCATCCTTTCTGAACCTCCAAATCCCAGGCAGAGATCACTTTTGCCTCTAATTGACAAAATTCTGATTGGATTCTTAGGAAGTCCCTCCACCCAGGTGCCATTCTCCGCCCCCACAGCATCCTTCCTCACTGGGTGGGCTTCCTAGAAGCCCAGGCTGTTGATCTGCCTTGAGCACTGGCTCTGCTTGGCTCTCGTGAGCTGCTGTTCTGAGCCACGATGGCTACTGACCCCGGCTGTGCTTCTTCGCTGCAGGCCCTTCTTTGAGGGGATGTCGCAGTCCAGCTCACAGACGGAGATTGGCAGCCTCAACAGCAAGGGTAGCCTCGGAAAAGACACCACCAGCCCTGTGAGCAGACCAATGGCAATGAGGGGTGGGGAGAGGGACCTGGCGTGTTGGCTTCACACTCTGGCCCTCTGCTTCTCTGAGCATGGCTCCTCTGAGACCACAGGAAAGTGGCTTTAGTTTTCCTCTTGTCAGCCTTGGCTGAGAGCATAGCACTCTGATGGCATTGCTGTCTCTGATCAGATGTTCTTTTTCATCTGTTTCTGCTGTGACATGGAGCCTTCCCTCCTGTCTCCAGAACTCTCCCTCCATGTCCTTTATGCAGTGTTTGAGAGCATGTGGCATTTGGCCAAAGGGAAGTGATTGTGCCTTCCAGGTAGGGGAAAACCAGTTTCAAGGGGCAGAGGGGCACGTGGTCTGTCCAGAATATAGTACCTCGACTCTGCTGGATGCAGAACTTAGAGAAGCAGTGCCCTGAAGGATGTAGAATGTAGTGAGTAAGAAGACAGAGCCACCCTGCTGTGGTGTCCAGTGCCCAGCAGCAGGTCACGCAGGATCCCAGGATAACACTGCCACCTCAGGCCTGAAGAAGCTGCTCAGCCCTGGGTTCACACCTAAAGGCTTGCAGAGCAGAGCTGTGTTTGCTGTGTCAGAGCTGTCTTTTCTGTAGATGAGAGGAGCCAAATCCGCCAGTTGTTGCTGCTTTGGCAGAAGATGAGGGATATGGTCCCCCGTCCACAGAGGGAATACACAGCTCAACCTGCAAGTAGTAGGTGTTAACCATGAGGAGATGATCCAAAGCTGCCAGGCACACCATCTCCTGAAAGCATAGTCTGGTAGGGCTGTGTCCTCCTGCATGCACAAACCACCAGTGTCTCCTGGGGCTTCCGTGGCTGCTGTTCTGCCTGCGGTCACCAGGTGGCACCGTCTCCTAGCTTATTCCTCTTCCCAGTTAAGGCGCAGCCTGACCCATCAAGAATGGCCTGGCAGTGAGTTAGGAGACAGAGGAAGGAAACTGGGGTCCATACCAAGAATCCTCCCACCGACAAGCCTCAGGCCTGCCTGGCCACCAGTGACCCAGTGCCTCCCCAGCTCTGGTCCATGGTGATCTGGGCCTGAGGGTCCTCACTTACTGAACTGCTAGCATTTAGGATGTGGATCAGAGTTCCTTTTCCTCACAGGGGGCTGCTGAATGGCCCTGCTGAATTGTCACTGTCCCTGTGGACAGATCATTGGCCATGAGAGCCAGATTCCATCTTAAACAGAAGTTGTAGTTCTTCTAGAAAGAAGCCCAGGACCTGCTGAGGGAAGGCTGCTACCCCGTGCTCTGGAATGTGGGACAAGTGCTGGCCAAGCTGATGTCACGGGGCACTGATCACAGCACTGGCATGCTCTGTGGGTGCTAGTGCTCCCTGTCACTTGGTCATTAAGAAGAACTAATTTATAACAAAAGAATTGTTTCTGGATTGATAGAATTTTACTATAGGTTCTGCTTTAGTCTCACTTACATAGTTTACAACATTTTGAGGAAAAAATTACTTTGACAGTCTAAGCCTCAGGTGTCTTATTTGTAGTGTAAGGGTATAGGCACAGGAGCCCAATGCCTCAGAAGGCAATGGAATATCATTCTCTGCAATGTGACGGCCTGTGAAGGCAAAGAATGCATTTGTGCAGGGCAGAATTTCTAAGTATGAATCGTGACTCCACTGACTGTAATCTTGGTCAAATTCCCAAGCCTCCATTTTCTCATCTACAAAGTACTTGTCAAGAAACATGTTTCACCAGGCCCCGTGGAGATACAGTGAGATTATGCAGGTCAGACCTCCCGCAGGAGCTGCTTACTGGTTGCTTGCTGGGGACCTACCTGCAGCAAGTGTCAGCTGCTGTTGCTTTTATTATCATAATTCCTTAAAGCCATTTCAGTTTTGGACTCCTAAAATTGATAGAATTTAGATGTCTTTTATACAAGTCCTTCAGATTCTGGTTCTTTGGCTAGACCTCAGACTTGCTTTGCTGCTTCTCTGCTGAGAGTTCTATTTTGAAGAGCCCCATATGTCTTGATGTGGGTGTGGAACTGTGGAATCTTCTGGTAAGAAGGCACTTTGGGAACAGCAGAACAAGCCTGTGCTCTTATATGGAGAACTTCCTGGTGGATTAGGAGTAACATACAGTTGTGCGTGTCTAGGGACTATCTGGGTAGCTGCTGCCTCACATTGGTAGCTTTTTATCCCTACTGCTGAGCATTGTCACTGTTATATTTTTGCTTCTTTGTTTTTTAGTGGGGTTTTTTTGTTTGTTTGTTTGTTTGTTTGATTGATTGTTTTGTTTTGTTTTGAGGTGCAGGAATCAAACGCAAGACCTTACGTATACTAAGCAAGTTCTCTACCACTGAGCTACATTTCGGCCCCATATGTTCATTTTTTTAAATTCACCTTTTGTTTTATTTTGTTTTGTTTCCCAGCTTCTCAGAAGATTTGGTTTATCACTAGAACCAGAAGAAATTCCTGATACAAATTATTGCAGTTGTTGAGTTTTCTGAAAGCTCCAGCACACAGTAGCAACATAATTTAGCTCTTTATGCTGATAACAATAGGCCCTGACAGTGCTTCAGGAAGTTGACCCAAGACACTGCCTGCTGCTAGGAGCTGCTATTTCCATAGCACTGTCAGTAATGGTGTTAGAGACTAGAGTTTTATCCCCCGCACCACACACACTTCATCAACAGCCACCATTACCTGTGGGCACATGCTACAGACTGGGAGCCCCCTCCAGTGTCAGTTAGGCAGACACAGCTGGAGCACTGCTGGGCTGGAACAGAAGTTTGGAGAAATTAGGAGCTAATTCCAATGTTTACTGACACTTATGCTTTAATAAAGCTAGTTGGGGGTTCTTGCCCTGTGATCACCCTCACTTGAGTGCAGACTTTCCCTTTATAATAGATCTCTCACCCTGATAACCTTAAAAAAGACAACAACAGAAAGCTAATGTGGGAGGCTGGGGTTGTGGCTCAAAGGTGTTATGTCCACCTATAACTAAAAAAAAGATTAAAAAAATACAATAACATTAAACAAAAAAGCTAATGGGGGTTACATCTCAATAAATGTTGCCCCCTTTGCCATGGAAACATAGTAAGAAAACAACAAGGTTACTTTAAAACCCCCAGTGGAGCTGCATTCCCTCTCTGGTCCATGCTGATCTGAAAGTGAATGAGAACTATCATCAGCAGTGCTGTTATGGGATTCTAAACTCTGTTAGCAATGGCTAGTCACATAGTTAATGTGTAAATAAACTACCTGCATGGCTGTTCTGCATGGCTGTGAGCTGTTACTTAAGCTACCCCACCTTCAGCACTGAGGTCATGGGGTCTAGCAAGTGAGCATGAGATTCTCCTTGCAGATGGCTCTGAACAGCAGTTCTCTAGGTGACCTTGACTGCCAGGGGACATTTGGCAGTGACTGGAGATATTTTGGGTTGTCCCCAGTGGGGGGCTGCTACTGACATCTGTGAACAGAAGCCAAGAATGCTTCTAAACATCCTGTGATGCCCTGGACAGCTGGTCCACCAAGACTGTCAGCAGAGCTGAAGTGGAGAAACCCAGGTTTAGAGTGTGACACAGGAAGCCTGCTCTTGTGGTCTTTGGTCATTAGCTGATCCAGTGACCCCCTGAATGTATTAGCCTGATGTTCCCAATTTTGTGACATTTACTCAGAGAAAGGACTTTGAGTAATTGAGAGGAAGCAGAATAGCCTTTATATTTTCTTCCTCCTTTGGTTCCTTAGAAGAAACAAAGAAATTCACTGAGGCCAGTGCCTGCCCAACATCCAAGACCCATAGCACATGCTGCTCCTGGCTGTGGTGTTGCTGTCTGAATAGCTAGAAGCCATATTACCTAATACTAAATATTTGGTTATTTATCTTTATCTGCAAAATAAACCTTCATTATTTATGAGCCACCACGTGGCTTCACATTAGGCATCTTTTTGCTTAATATATATTCTGTTAAGATTGAGTCTTCTGGGTGTTTCTACCAATCAAAAAGCATTGGGCACCAGTTGCAGTGGCCACTCCTGTAATCCCAGCTATTTGGGAGACTAAGGCTGGAGGATCAAAAGTTTAAGGCCAACCTCAGCAATTTAGCTAAATCCTGTCTCAAAATTTTAAAAAATAATGGGGCTGGGGTTGTGGCTTAGTGGTAGAACACTTGCCTAGCATGTTTGAGGCACTGGGTTTGATCTCCAGCACCACATAAAAATAAAAACAAATAAATAAAGTATTGTGTCCATCCACAACTAAAAACCATCTTTAAAAAATTTTTAAATAAAAAGAACTGGTAATGTAGCTTAGTGGAAGAGCACCCTGGGTTCAGCCCCCAGTGTCCAGGGAGGGAAAGCATTTGGCTACCATGAGTATCTTCAGTCTAAAAATCATAGACCCATGGGGCTGGGGTTGTGGCTCAATGTTAGGGTGCTCACCTAGCATGCATGAGGCACTGGGTTTAATCCTCAGCACCACATACAAATAAATAAAGTCCATTGACAACTAAAAAAAAATATTAAAAAAATAAAATAAAGATATTGTGTCCACCTAAAACTAAAAAATAAATATATATTTTTTTAAATCACAGACCCAAACTATAAGATTCTCCCTTCTCTGTTATGCAGAGGAAGCCTCCATATTTTCCTTTAGGGCAACAGTGTCCACTGAATTCAGGGTCAGAGACTGTATGGATCCAATTGCAAAGTCATCTAACTTTGAGCCTCTCTTCCCTAGTGACATTTTGTGGGAGTCAGAATTTCTGAGTCCCACATCTCTGTGTCATTCACTTAATGATTAATAAAATAACTGACCTCTCTGAAACTTCGTTTTCACAAAAATACACCCCTCATAAGAGCCCTAAAGATGTTCTGAGGTTGAATACACTAAAAGTATTTTAAGCATCTAGGGACCTACTAAAACATGTTAGAGTTATAATCCTTTAGATCAAAGATAACCAATTATTATAAATTTTGCAGATGGAATTGGCTGCTCTAGAAAAAGTCAAATCTACTTGGATTAAAAACCAAGATGACAGCTTGACCGAAACAGACACTCTGGTACGTATGATTCCGTTTCCTCTTCTAGCCATTTTGAATATCCTCCGCACCTTTGGAAATAAAGGCAGAAAGACTCTTGTGGGCTGGTGCACATCTGTGTTCTTTTCCTCCTGAAGTCCTTACGCGTGGGGTAGAGCTGACCCTAAGACCAGCTCATTGCCCACATTAACAAACCAGAAATGTACCCATTCTGCCCTTTAATCAGATCTCATCTTGGGGTTGAATAGTTTGGATAATTTCTGTTATTTACTTCCAAAAGATGATGACCAGTGTCTTCCCTTGAAAAGCTGTCCTTTTCCCCTTTCATTGGGGAGTTTAAATCAGGAAGTAACCTGACTAGAATTTCATCTGAAAAGATCACTTGTAGTAGTCACATGGCCAAGCAGTGAGCCTTAAATCTCTTGAGTGGCTACTGATCACTCCTGCTCCAGGAGTGGGGCTGCCCAGGGTGCAAGCCAAAGCTAGTGAGGCAGAGTGGAGTCGGCTGGGGTGGCCCCCAAGTGAGCCTTGAATTGCACATGCATTCACCGTGCACCTCTGGTGCTAAGCACAGAGGATGCAAAGATGCCTGAACCATGGTCTCTGCCACCAAGTCCCCCTTTCCAGGGGTAGCCACCTGTGCACACCTGGGACAAGACTGTTGGAGGCCCAGGGAAGTGCAGGGGGATGCACTCTGGAGAGAGGTCATCTGAGCTGGCCTTGTAAGACACCCTGCAGTTCATCTAGTGGGATGGGAGGCTGGACACTAGGTGGGAAGGAGAATGCCATCTGATGTGCTGTATCTGAGCCTCAAAGCGAGACCTTCTGGTAGTTGAATGGAGTCCATGGAAGTTATGTTAGACTTTTGTTTTGTTTAATTTTTTTTTTAGTTGTAGTTAGACATAATACCTTTATTTTATTTATTTATTTTTATGTGGTGCTGAGGATCAACCCCAGGGCCTTACAACACGTGCTAGATGAGCACTCTACTAATGAGCCACAACCCCAGCCCCTGGACTTATGTTTAATATAGTAAATAATACTACATTGAGCATCTCATGCACGATGGAGCATTAGGCTTGATTCAAGATTTAAAATGTACTGTATTAACCTGTCCTTGTTCGTTCACCAGCTTCCACTCTTGCCCATTGTGGTCCACACTGCTTGCGACTACTACAAGTGATCTTTTCAGATGAAATTCTAGTCAGGTTACTTCTTGATTTAAACTCCCCAATGAATGATTATATCTCAAATGGAATTTTAACTTAGCATTGAGAGGAAAAAGCCAAATGTCAGAAGCATGCCATAGGATTTCATTTCTGTGGAATTCATAAAGAGGCAGAACTAACCTATGATGGCAGAAGTCAGGGTACTGGCTGGGAATGGGAACAGGCATTTGGGACCTTTCAAGTGTACTGGAATGTTCTGTCTTGGTCTAGTTAAAGGCCCCTGGGGCTATCCTTGCATAAAAATCAAAGTTTATGCTAGGGAGCAGAACACTTGTCTAGTATGGGCCAAGCCCTAGGATCTGATCCCCACCCCACCACTGCTAAATAAATAGATAAATAGACTTTATACTTCAGATCTAAACATTTTACTCCATGGAAGTTATTCCTTAGTAGACATTTTTAAAACTTAAAGGATAGCAAATGCAGGGAGGTAAGCAGGCACACGGCACACATGTGGAAAGCAGTCTTTCAAAAGGCTAGGGCATCAGGGAAGTTGTCATCCTGGGGGCTTATGGGAGATTGACTTGATACCTCGAAGGCCCACTGGAACAGTGCAGAGCTGTTTGAGCTGTTTGCAGTGTCCCAATATAAACACCTTGATCTTAGGAGAACACTCTGGAGTGAGCAGACTGGATGGGTTCTAAGGGGAGGAGGTAAGACTCTTGAAGATTGTCAAAATGATCCAGGAAAGACAGAAGACTAGACTCAGGGTGGGAGGAGGTCGCTGGGTGGAGAAGGAAGTGATTGACTGCCTGGCAGATGCAGGTTGGCTTTGACCAGTGTAAGGAGGCTGCAGGCAGACTTCACAAGGTCCCTAAGCCACAGGTCCTGCCCTGGCAAGGTGTGAGATCCTGCCTCCCCATCTGGGAGCAGGAGTCCCCAACCCCTCTGAGGAAGGCCCATCATCGGCACCGTTCTTGTGCTAAACACCTTTGTAGTCAGAGAGGGCAGAATTGGGAGGGAGCAGATGAAACCCAGCATTGTGGGAGGATGAAGTTAAATTGAACAGTAGTAGCTTCTCCATTGGTGAAGGAATAGTTTTAGAGCCATGCTTCCAGGAAGAGAGTGATTAGATGGCTCTGGTGGTGGTAATGGGCCCTGCAGGCTCTACGGAACTCCTTAGTGGTCAAGTGAGAAGTAACCTTCTTTGTTCCCTTCCTCCATGGCAGGAAATCACCGACCAGGACATGTTTGGAGATATTGGCACAAGTCTGGTTGTACCAGAGAAAGTCAAAACTCCTATGAAGTCCAGCAAAACAGAACTGCAAGGCTCTGCCTCCCCCAGGTACACCAAATTGGAGGGAAGCAGATGACACAGACCCTCAACCAAACTTGGCACAGACTCAGGGACCTAGGGAGGGTGAGAGCTGGTGCAGCTTTGGGGTTGGAAGGGCTACTTGACCCCTCCCCTCCCCTCCCCTCCCATCTCATCCCCTTTCCCTCAGCAAAGTAGAAGGGACACACACACCTCGGCAGAAGAGGAGCACACCCCTGAAGGAGCGGCAGCTCTCCAAGCCCCTGAGTGAGAGGACCAACAGCTCTGACAGCGAGCGCTCGCCTGACCTGGGCCACAGCACACAGGTATTGTAGTCCCCCAGCAAGACCAGGCCCTCTGAGGTTGCTTGGATGTTAATCTCCTCCTTCGACAGCTAGATGGTGAGGAAAGAACACTTGAAATGCAGTGAGTAGAAGACTGTAATGAAAGACCTAAGTGAGAGGAAGCAGACATGTTTGTCATCCACTAGTGGGAGAGAATTGGGCTTTGTGCTGATATGTGGGGAGCAGCCATCAGCTGCTCAGTGTGTGCCCCCTGAAGCAGCACACAGGTCTTGCAGCAATTCTGTAGCCTAAAAACTCATATTGAGGGGGAGCTGGGGTTGTGGCTCTGCTGGAGAGTGCTTGCCTAGCACGTGCGAGGCCCTGGGTTTGATCCTGAGCACCACATAAAAATAAATGAACAAAATAAAGGTATTGTGTAAACTAAAAAATATATATATTAAAAAAAAAAAAAAACTTACATGGGCCAGAATGTTGCACTTTATCAGTGGCTATGTGAAGGTCCAAGGTGCCAAGGTTAGACATCAACTTCTTAAGGCAGACTTGCAATTTATCAGAATCTGCATGAGCAAATAAAATGTCATCCATATAATGTATGACCAGACAAAGCTGTGTAAGAGGCCTGATCACATGAGAGACAAAGAGCTGGCATATTGGAGGGCTATTCTTCATCCCTTGGAGGAGGACTATCCAGTGATATCTCTGGGTGGGTGTCATGGTGTTAGGTTCCCACCCCGTAAAGGCAAAAAAGGGTCTGTCCTGATGTGCTGTAGGTATAGAAAAGAAGCAATTCTTGAGGTCTATAGCAACAATAAAATAGATGCTCGGGATGCTGGCGGGATGAGGAATACCTGAAATTAACCTATCTTTTTCATATATTTATTGGTCTTAAATATTTTTTTTAAATTTATACTTATAGGTGGACACATTATCTTTTTTTTATTTTTTTATGTGGTGCTGAGGATCGAACCCAGTGCCTCATGCATGCTAGGTGAGCACTCTACCTCTTGAGCCACAACCTCAGCCCCTTAAATCTTGAAGTAACCTATGTTTCCCATTTTTCTTGGGGATTACAAAAATAGGTGTCTTGTGAAGGCTGGTGGAGGGTTTATTGTGCCCAAGATCTAATTGCTCCTGAACTAGTTGCTTAAGAATTGTTAATTTGGGCGGGGCTGGGGTTGTGGCTCAGTGGTAGAGTGCTCCCCTCACATGTGCGAGACCCTGGGTTCGATCCTCAGCACCACATAGAAATGAATGAGTGAAGTAAAGGTATTGTGTCCAACTAAAAATAAATAAATATTTAAAAAAGAATTGTTAATTTGGGTTCTAGGATAGGCCACTGTTCCACCTAGATGTGATCTGTGGTGTCCCATTCCAGGGGGATGGGCTCTGGCTTAGTGGTCAGCGGAACAGTGGTCCTTAGAATTGGGGAGGCACAGGTCTCCCCGACAGTCCTATTTTGTCATGTATCATTATCTCATCACACAGAGCTTTATCATCAGTAGTTATAACACACAGGGAAGCAGGGCAGCGACCCCACTATCAGCCGCCACCTGGAGCAAAGCCTAAAGCTCTGGATTCTTGCCCTACTTCTGTCCTCTCCTACCTATGGGATCTTCAGTCACTGACTTTTCTGTACCTCAGCTTCCTCATGCAAGGGGCCATGCAAGCCTGAGGAGAAATGAGAAGAAACCAGACCTCGGGCGTGTGTCCTCTCTGAAGCAGTGGCTTCAGAGCTGGGGGCTGGCATACCTCACAGTCTCGCTGTTGTGGAGTTAGGCAGTCAGCCTGTTCATTTCCCTGATAAATATGAAAAGTTTGTGTCCATGTGACTTCCTGAGTTTGACACTATTACATAGCAACAAATGAACCTGAGACCAGAACAGCCCAGTCCCTGGGGTGAGGTATCATCCTTCTGGTTCATCGTCACCCCTAAAACGCCTTTGTTCCTGGGACAGTGGGTCCCTGTGCAGAGCCAGCTGCCACTGTCATTATTTCTCTCCCCACGGCCCTCCTTGCCATTCCCCCACATACCCACTCTCCACACTCACTCCTCTGCTCCCGGTGCGGAAACTGCCACTGTTCCTGCCACCCCTTCACAGGAAGCTCATGTGTCCCTAGCCTGCAGGCGTCCCTGGCAGAACCCCACCGTGCGTGGCTCCTTGCCTGCTGTGTTGCAGGTGTGCCCTCCAAGGACTTTCTGCTTGTCCTTCCTTCTCTCCATTTTGGTCAGGCCAATGGGAGTCTGTATCTTTCACAAATTCCTAGTATCCACACTCTGAATATGCCAGTGCCAAGGGTTCTCCCCACTTCCGGCACAGCTGCCTCTGGCTCCCTGGCTGTGCCTAACAAATGTTTATCCCTGCAGATTCCAAGAAAGGTGGTTTACGACCAGCTGAATCAAATCCTGGTGTCAGATGCTGCCCTCCCGGAAAATGTAATCCTGGTGAATACCACTGACTGGCAGGGCCAGGTAAAGCATTCAGGACCTCACAGGGCTCAGCATGTGCCACCTGAAGCAGCACACAGGGAAGCAGGAAAGTGACCCCACTCTCAGCCCCCACCTGGAGCAAAACCTAAAGCTCTGGATTCTCGCCCTACTTCTGTCCTATCCAACCTATGGGATCTTCAGTCACTGACTTTTCTGTACCTCAGCTTCCTCATATGTTTAGGGGGGAAAAAAAAAAAGGCAGCAAGCATTGGGTCTGGCCCGCCTCCCAGGTGCCAGCTGTGTTGGGCAGCCTTTTAGGAACACCAAGGGCTATAAGATGGCCAGAGCTGCCCCTGGATTTCATGAAAGCAATTCGGCAGGAACAGAGCAGCCCTGCCTGCCTCCTCCCTTCTGTCTGCCCTGTGAGACACTGGTGCCAGGAATGACTGGGGTGTGGTCTCTGCTTAAAGCCCCCTATGTCCTCCCATCTTCCACCATCAGCCTATCTCAGGGTGTCTGTCCCACCCTCTAAGCCAGAAAACCTCACTGCCTCTGTCCAGCCTAGGCCAGAATAACAAAGGATAGGGGCCCTGCAGCTCCTCCTGGGTCTCGTTTGCCCTCTCAGCCCCTCTGGGGAGAGATGTGGCCTGACCTGCCTCCCTGTCCCTTCCTTCCCCCAGTATGTGGCTGAGCTGCTCCAGGACCAGCGGAAGCCTGTCGTGTGCACCTGCTCCACCGTGGAGGTCCAGGCTGTGCTGTCCGCCCTGCTCACCCGGATTCAACGCTAGTAAGGACTCCAGCTTCTTTGCTCCTGCCCTTTTGGAGCTCCTCCACCTCATTCTCCCACCCTGACTCACACAATGGAAGGACCTCCTGGCCTGCAGTGCAGGTCTACGTGTTTGGGGCAGTGGCAGCAAGCTGTAGGGCCTAATGTCCTGGTAGAGTATCAGCTCCTGAGCCCCCTGACTCCCTGCCCAGACTCCTCCCACACCTTGACTTGCCCCAGCAAGAGGCAAGAAGAAAGAACCCAAGGTTTTAAAAAGAGCTTTTACTCTGTTCCCGTAACCACATCATCTGCTTGACAACCAAGAGTCGGTGCTTTCCCCTTCTAGGGCCTTCTTAGAAAGGCCTGTAGTCCCCTCCCATGTATCAGAGAATGAGGCTATCCCAGATGTTGGGCTTGGGCCCATGTAGGGTTCCCAGGTGGCAATGCTGGCTTGTCCCTGTTAGCTCCAGCTCTCCTGTTTCCTTCATTGGCAGATGCTGCCTCTAGACCAGTGCTGTGGCTTGTTGCCTCCCTGTATTGCTTTGCTTATTGGCTTTCTTCTCCCCGTGGCTTGTTGAAATGATTGCAGTCAGAGCTTGGGACCTGCCCTGAGTATGGCTTGCGAAGATCCCCTTTCTCCCCAGCTGCAACTGCAACTCCTCCATGCCGAGGCCAGTCAAGGTGGCAGCTGTGGGAGGCCAGAGTTACCTGAGTTCCATCCTTCGGTTCTTTGTCAAGTCCCTGGCCAGCAAGACCTCTGACTGGCTGAGCTACATGCGCTTCCTCATCATCCCCCTCGGTAAAGTGGGGCAGCACCCAGAAGGAGAGTTAGCCACCAGCAGCTCCAGTTCTGGCAGCAGGGTGGGGGTTGGTCCTAGGACAAGAGCATCAGGGAGACCAAAGGCCCAAGCCATGGCTGGGGACAACTGCTGCCCACCTTTTCATTTGCTAACCCATTTTACCTTCTCTGGTTTTCCATCCACCAGGTTCTCACCCTGTGGCCAAATACTTGGGCTCAGTCGACAGCAGATATAGTAGCACCTTCCTAGATTCTGGCTGGAGAGATCTGTTCAGCCGCTCAGAGCCCCCAGTGTCAGGTAAGGGAACCTCCACCCGAGCCAGTACCAGGGTCACAAGACAGTGCAGCTGAAGGGGGCTTTTCCTCCTCAGGGCCCCCGTTCCCTGTCACTGTGCCCATACTTCCTTGGTGAGTATTCATTAAGTGCAGCTCTTCCACTTGGGGCCTTCTCCAGCTGCTGTGCACCCTACTGCTGCTTAGCCCCTTGTAGGAACGAAATGTAAGAAGCAAGAAATCACTGAGCAGTCTCTTGATAAGTGAGTGACGCTGTACCAGCTGGTGTTTCCCTGCCACCCAGTGAAGTTAGTGGTATCAGAGTGAGGTTGCCATAGACAGGACTGTCCTTTGACTCACAGTCCCTTTGATTCAAAGGGGTAGCCAGGCATGGTGGCACACTCCTGTAATCCCAACAGCTTGGGAGGCTGAGGCAGGAGGATCACAAATTTGAGGCCCTAAGCAACTTAGTGAGATCCTGTCTCTAAATAAAATATAGAAAGGGCTGGAGATGTGGCACAGTTGTTTAATCCCTGTGCGAAAAAAAAAAAAAAGATGGTGGATAGAATAAGCAAAACTCAGGGGATTTTAGAGCCTCTCCATCCCAGATCCATGTTCCTTTCCTGGGTCTCAGGAGGGCACTCTCCCAGGGTTTGTGGGTTGCCAGCTGAAATGAACAGGCCAATCCCTCCTGGCTTTTCTGCAGAGCAATTGGACGTGGTGGGGCGCGTGATGCAGTATGTCAATGGGGCAGCCGCTACACACCAGCTGCCTGTAGCTGAAGCCATGCTGACCTGCAGGCATAAGTTGTAAGTCTGACTTGGGGGTTTCTTACAGTTGAGGTGGGCTCTGGAAGTCTGGAGAGCTCCTGTTGTTCACATTCTCCTTCTCCACACCCCTTTTCCTGACACAGGAGCCCAAGAGCATTTGCAGGTCTTTTACTTCCTCTCTTGCAGGCACCCCCCTCCTCACCCTGGGCCTCCCAGCTCACGAGGTCCTGGGCCTGAATTAGTTAACTCCTCTCCCGTCCCCTCAGTACTGAAGCAGCCCATCCTAGGGCTGAAGTCACCTGTGCGGAGCAGGCAGTATAGTTTGCACAGTTGGGTCCTTTGCCCTAATTTTGTGTGCTCCACATGTACAGTGAGTAACAGACCCTCCTCCTGACACTGAGATGTCTCGTGAAGATGTAGCACAATGTTCTAGACTCCTGTAGACCACTGTGGAATATGAAGGGCTTATTTCCCCACTGCTCTGCTCAGTCACATCTGCTAACTCTAAAGCTTGTCTGTCTCCCAACAGCCCTGACGAAGACTCCTATCAGAAGTTTATCCCCTTCATTGGCGTGAGTATTGACTCCCATTCTCTGCACCCCATTCTCATGGGGACAGATTTTGCCCCCTGGGAAACATTTTTGGTTATCACAGCTGGGAGTATGGTGCTCCTGGCATCTAGTGGGGAGAGGCCAGGGATCCTGCTGAACCTCCTCTAGGATGCAGGACACAGTAGACACAGTGTGGCCCCAAAGGTCAGTAGTGCCAAGGTAGAGAAGCCCTGGGCCAGGACACATACTGGGCTGTCGATATGATTTTTATTTCTATTTTTTTTCTATTTTATTTATTTATTTGCAGTACTGCGGATGGAACCCAGGGCCTTGTGCATGCTAGGCCAGTATTCTACCACTGAGCTGCCCCAGCCTTCAGCTGTCCCTTTTAGGGTTATCCTTTCCCCACATCATGAACTATCCCTGGATTCATCACTGGTATCTCCTGCTTATTAGATCAGGCCCTGAATTTGGAGCCTGTAGATCCTGGAATGAAATCCAGAGCATGGCTTCTACAGGCTCAGGGAAGGGAAATAGTGAAGTGTGGTCTTCTGGGCAGAGGTCCATGAATCAGAAACTTCTGGGAAATAGTGAAGTGTGGTCTTCTGGGCAGAGGTCCATGAATCAGAAACTTCTATCTCCAGGCTCAGATGGACCACTGAGAAGAAGGGCTCTTCCTCTGCTTAGTCAGGAAGAACCTTTATTAGTGAATTATACAATAAAGGAAGAATTCTTAGATGCCTTTGGTGTCAGGTATACCAACTGTTGCTCTGTTTGTTGGTGAGAGCTGGGCCCAAGCTCAGACTGACCTAACTAGTTAGGGGCCCAGACAGAGCACCCCACAGAAAAGGACCAAAAACTTGTGTTTCTGCTTCTGAGGTGTTCTGATTTCTCTTTCCAACCAGTTTGTATCTTTTTCTGTAATATCCTTGAGGATCCTGCATAGCCTTTGGGGAGAAGGGACAGTGAAGTGCAGATAGACATGCTCAATTCCTCACTATCCCTAATCACTGAATGTTCAAATCTCTGGGTATCCTGAGTAATCTTAGTTGGGGGAATGGACAGCCCTCCTCAGGCTTCTGGGATGTTCATATAGTTATACCGCTGCAGGCCATGGGACCCTGGTCACAGCCCAAGCTGTCAGTTTGACTCATGTCTTCATGGAACTGGGGATCGATCGACGCTTACTCTGGTCTCCCAGCCCAAGAGTTAAAATATGAAAAATGTCATAGGGACATAGCTCAGTAGTAGAGCACTTGCCTAGGATATGTAGGGTCATGAGTTCCATCCTGAATTTTGTTCCTCTCAGTGAGTGAATGGCAGCAGTGCTCTCAGCAGCCTGACGAAAACTGCTGCCACCTGCGGTCCCCTTCACTCCAGCAGCCCAAACCCAGCTGCGTTTCTGACCCCACCTGTCACTCAGACCACAGGAGATAGTCACCAAGTTTGCCTGTAGCCTCTAGCATCCTTTTGTGACCACTGGAGGGCTCCCTCTGTCCTCTCCATAATAGTCTATGGGGAATCTAAAATTCCTGAGATGGCCCCTTTATGGGCACTCCAGATTCCAGGAAGGTAGAAAGAGGAGGGCTGGTGTCTGCACTGATTCAGTATGTTCAGTTGAGCTGGCTCACACAGAGCATGGCTGCCATGAGACATGCCTGTCCCCACAGAGATGGAGCTGGCTTCCTGGGACCCTACCTATGTAAATTGAGATCACTACACTAACTGGTTCCTGCCTTCATATGTGCCTTGCCCATTTCCCCAGAGAAGAGCTGCAAATTCCCATGGGCCCTCCTTATGTTGCTTGGACTGGGCTTCCTTTCTTTTTGTGGTATTGGGGTTGGAACCTAGGGCCTGCACAGGCTATACCCAGCCCTATCCCTTAAGCTCTGGGCTGTTCCAGGCTTATAAAGATTTTCTGAGCCTATGATAAAATTGTGTGTATGATGGCTGTTGTGCTGGCCCTGTTTCCTGTTGGATCATACTTGCCTAAAGGACTTACTGAGCATGTCTTCCCTCCTCCAGGTGGTGAAGGTGGGCCTAGTTGAAGATTCACCCTCCACTGCAGGTGAGCCTGGGCCCCTGGGCTCCTCTTGGGTGAGATCATCTCTCTGGTGCAATGGTCAGAAATTGGAGGTGCTGAGTGTTCTGGGGAAGCAGCTTGAGCAGGAAGATGTGAGCCTTGCTGTGCAGCTGTGTGGGGAGGGGAGGCAGGAGCAGCCCAGGGCTCAGGAGGAAAGCAGGGCTGCCCCTAAGAAAGTGGCTCCTCCCTCCCTGCCATCAGCAAGTGAGGATGGCTGCCTCTGACTGACAGTGTTCATCTCCCGACAGGTGATGGGGACGATTCACCTGTGGTCAGCCTTACTGTGCCCTCCACATCTCCACCCTCCAGCTCAGGCCTGAGCCGAGATGCAACAGCCACCCCTCCTTCCTCCCCATCCATGAGCAGCGCCCTTGCCATTGTAGGGTAAGCTCTCGCCCAGACCAGTATGTTATGCCCTGTCCTTCAAGCCAGGCCCAGCAACCTAACTCTTCCCAGGCACAGACACACTGGCCTAAGAAGGTCACACTGGTGAGAGAACTCAGAGGCCAGTCACCAGCCAGCCAAGTCATTGGACAGCTCAGTGCAGTGAGAGGCATGTCCAGCCTGGCAGGCCTTTTATGGCTGTGAGGTGTGATGCAGGTGTCTTGTTATAGGACTCACTGGCATGTGAGTGGCTCTGTGGTGTGTCCACGGTGCTGGCGTGGGCAGGTTACTGGGCTCCAGTTTCATCTTATGTGTAGTAGAGGTGAGTTGGCCACCTTGGGGACTATTGTGTAGCTTATAAATAGGAACCAAGTATCAGTTGGGGCACGCTGTGGTGTGGTGCCTTGGTCCAGTGGTCCCCGCCCTCCTGGAGCTCGGGCTCCCAGGCTGGGCCTGAACCGCAGAGGTGGCAAAAACCTCATGACTGTGGGGTGTGGCGAAGCGGGGAGGAAGTCTTAAAGAATCTCAAGTACCTAAAGCTTAGCTGGAGAGCCAGGGAACCCTTTCCTGCCAGGCCTGAGGAAGGGGAGGGGGATGAGAAGAGGCTTTTAGGCCATGGCCAGGAGCAGAGAGCAGCATTCTTTTTCTCTTTCTTCTGCCTTTACCTTTTTCCTTTCACCTGAGAGGGAGGCACTGGGCAGTGGCTTTTCCAGAGGCCTCAGTGAGAGTGTCATAGCCCTGGACCTGGGATCCCCATCCTGTCCTCCCACTCTCTCTTCCTCCTCTCCTCCGTGGACTTCTGATTTTTCTGGAAGGGACAATGTAGGAAAAATAACCATGCTCTGCTCCAGAGACCTGCTGGATCCAGGCTTCCAGGAGCCCTGTTTTCTCTCAGACCCCCCACTGCCTAAAGATTTCTGTCCAGCATAAGTTTGGGGAACCTTGAATCCAACCCCTACCTCAACCTCCTTTCTCATACAATATATGCTTTTTATTTTATTTATTTATTTAATGGACTAAAAATATAAGGCAGAAAGAAAAAATCAGATGATTTTCATAGCCGTGTGCCTATTGTATCTGCCACCTCCTTTCAAGAAACCATCAGCCCTTTCCCTGGGAGCTAAAATTATCCCTGAGCTAAAAGTGCCCCATGTCAGCGAGAGCACAGGTCAGCATCCCCCCGCTCCAGAGCTGCTCTGCAGCCACTCTGGCTCTTCAGCCCTCTGCCTCTGGGCACCAACTTTGCTTGCTGGGAGCATGTGTGCATGTACAAGGATCTGCGTGCCTGTGTGCACTCTGCTTCACAAAGTTTCCCACTTCTCTCACCCTGTGATAGTTTTACTTGGGCCTTTATCCTCTGCTGGTTTTGTTCTCAGATCAGCCTGATTCTTGATACCCACATGAGCTGCTGCTGATTCTGTGTGACTGGAGGAAGCACAGCCACTCAACTGGACTTGCTCCCCATCTCCTGCTCCAGGAGGCTGGCAGCCCCTCTTCCCAGTTTCTGGCCCATGTAATTGGGCTCTGAGGAAAAAGCTGATCTCTTGTTTTCATCCCATTTCTCCAGGAGTCCCAATAGCCCATATGGGGATGTGATTGGCCTCCAGGTGGACTACTGGCTGGGCCATCCTGGCGAACGGCGAAGGGAAGGTGACAAAAGGGACGCCAGCTCTAAGAACACCCTCAAGAGTGTCTTCCGCTCAGTACAGGTTTCCCGCCTGCCCCATGGTGGGGAAGCCCAGCTTTCTGGCACCATGGCAATGACCGTGGTCACCAAAGAGAAGAACAAGAAAGGTAAAGTGCCATGTGAGGCCAGAGAAGTGCAGGGGCCACCAGGCCTCCTCCCTTCTTTCAGGATCTGAAAGACAATTTGCTTTCACCTGGTGGGGGGGGGGGTCTCAGTGGTAGAGTGTTTGCCTGTTATATGCAGAGCCCAGTATGGCAAAAAGGAAAAAAAAAAGTCTGTGGGTGGGATGCAGTACACTTATCACGTGATCAGCCTGGGACCCAGTGAGAACACCCTGCCTTCCCCTGGGGGAAACACCATACCTTATATAATGCAGGAAACTGAGGTCCCAGCTGCTGAGCAGCAGCACCTCAAGGACTGAGGCCCTTGCTGCTGCAAAGTACAAGGAGCCTTTCTGACCTTTGCCCTCAAGGTCGGACTATGGGACAGAATGACCATGCCCCAGCCATGGTCATCGTGACCCATTGAGCAGAGCTTTCACATCCAGCACGGAAGAACTCCCCAAAGAAGCTTTATGAGCAGAAGGATATAACTATTTTAGGAATTAAGGGGAATCAGTCCTTCCAGATAAAGAGGGGTGGCTTGGGCTGGGGTTATTGTTCAGTGGTAGAGCGCTTGCCTAGCATGTGTGAGGCACTAGGTTCAAATCTCAGCTCCGCATATAAATAAATGAATAAAATAAAGGTTCATTAACATCTATCTATCTATCTATATCTATATATATATATTTATCTTAAAAAGGGGCGGGGTGGCTTAAAGCCCTAGAGGCAGAGTTGTAGAGGCAGGGTCCTATGTTCTGTGTGAGAGGCAGGAATCCCCTTAACCAGGCTGCTGTCCTTGTAGATTGCCACTCTTCTAGCTGGTTGGAACCCCACAATTCCAGCTGTGCACCAGCAGCAGCTGAGGACCCTGCCTCCTGGGCTGGCAGAGCAAGAGCAGATGGGCTTCTTGCTGTGCATGCTTTCCACCTTACAGCATTCCCCAGGGCCCTGGGCAGGGGCTGTGCAAGGCCTAGGGCCAAAACCTGCACACTACAGCAAAGGATTTGCTGAGAGTGGGGAGCTGAGCAGTGCCCTCTGTATCAGTATCCTTGCCTCTTTCCTGGGGCCAGGGTAGAGTTAATGCAAATACCTGCCCCCACATCATCTCCTTTGCTGTAGGCCCAGCAAGCCCCAGACAGGGAGCTAGGCCCCTGCCCAAGGTGTCTAGAACATTTCGGCTAGAAGGGACTTCAGAGACCATCTAGCCCCAGGTCTTGACTGTTCAGATGAAGATAGGCCCAGGAAAGGATGCAGGAATGTGTAGATCCTGACCTGTGGCCTGAGCCAAGCAGGAAGGGAGGAGGACAGGCCTTTTGCCAATTATCTCCCCTTGCCGCAGGAAGAAGGAAGCACTGGGGTTGGGGAGGAGGGGGATGGCTGTTTCCCAGGGCTGCAACAGAGATAGTTTCTGCTGGCTTTGCAGTTCCCACCATCTTCTTGAGCAAGAAACCCCGGGAAAAGGAAGTGGATTCTAAGAGCCAAGTCATCGAGGGCATCAGCCGGCTCATCTGCTCCGCCAAGCAGCAGCAGACTATGCTGAGAGGTGTGGTGATTTTGATGGTCCTCCCCAAGGGACAGGGAGATGACCTCAGCTGCCCCATCACCTCCTACTTCCCTCTTGCCCCCAGTGTCCATCGATGGAGTCGAGTGGAGTGACATCAAGTTCTTCCAGCTGGCAGCCCAGTGGCCCACCCATGTGAAGCACTTTCCAGTAGGACTCTTCAGTGGCAGCAAGGCCACCTGAGGCCCTGCCTCCTGGCTACTCTCCCTCCTGGCACTGCCATCCAGCCTCACCGCCTGCGGGCAGGGGGAGGCCAGCAGGCCGGGCCCAGAACCCCTTTCCTGGCACTGGGGCCAGCCCTCCACATGCCCAGTCCTGAAGGACACTGCCACTGGGGATGCTGCCCTCCCCTCCCCACTGCCCAGCCCCATTCCTTACTACCCCTCCTCCCTCCTGCTCCAGTCCCAGGGCAGGTGGGTTCTGTCTTCTGGTGCCCATGGTCCCTGGAATTGAGTCCTGCAGGCCTTCCTTCTCCTGGCCCTACCTCTTTCCTTCTGTGGCACCAGTTCCCTTCCTGGAAATAGGAAATGTGGGATCCTGGTCCACAGTGGGAGAGCCCAGGTCTCCCCACTCCCACCCCAGCCATCAGGCTCTCATTTTCCAAGGCCCCACTGCCAAATACCACTCACCCACCTGCCCCCAGTGGGGCAGGCCAGAGCCACTCCCCACTCCTGTAGGGACCTCCTCCTGTCCATGACTTCCCAGTGGAGGGTGAGGGGCAACTGAGTGATGCCGTGTGTTTCTGGAATGGAGGGGCCTCCCCCATGCACGACTTCCTATCCCAGCCCACCCTGTCCTTGTATATGTCAGGTTTCCTGAGCGTTTCTTCGGTTCTCTGCACAGCCAGTCCCTCGGTTGTTTATGTAACCCCCCGTGCACCATCCTGTCCTGTGGCTTCCTCTTGCTGGTGATGTTCTTCCCTCAGCCTTCCTGCTCCTTCACCCAGCACAGCTCTGCCGGGCATGAGAGGTGGAGGCAGACCCTCTGTCCACTGGCCGTGTATCTCCCTTTCCCATGTCGACTTGTCTCCCTCATCCTCCTACCTCCTCCATGTCAGGGCAGCTGGGCAAAGGCCTCTCCACCAGGTCTCCCCTCCAGCGGCCTCTTTTCCTCCCTCTTGACACCATGGCAGATCCTGAGCCCTTCCTTAGCTTCATCCAGCTGTTCTCAGGAGAGGCTGAGGGCAAGGACACAGAGCCAACGCTCGGCCACCATGCCACTGGCACTCCAGAGCTTCTCTATCACCCTCACTGCTCCCTAGAAGTTGTGGCACAGAACTGCATTTTGAAAGTGTTTGCTCACTCTCCATGCCTCCCCCAAAGTCCTCTAGCCCTTCCCTAGGCCTGGCCCTGCTGTCCAGAGCATTTCCTGGGCCCGAGGGTGGAGGTGAGGGTGGGAGGACGGGGTGAAGTTGATTTTTCATTCAATAAACTGGTGATTTCTTACCAACTGCCTTGGGCTTCTGTGCCCATGACTGTCATCCAGGCTTTCACCCCACCCCAGAAGGACACAGCATAACTCCACTCAGAATCAACTAGGAACCTAGGTGGAAAAGAAGTGCACTCCCACTTTTTCCATTACGGAAACCAGTATGATGATGTCTCACCCAGCCTGAGGCAGGCAAAGTTCAGAAATAGGACTGATTTCCCACCAAACTCCATTTTCCCCCAGGACCCTCTGTCCCCAGTCTCCAGTGTGCCTAACAAGGCAGTGGCATGTGAAGGGATGGTTTCTCCCTTCTGAAAAATCTGAGGCTTTGCAAAGGGGTCTTTGCCTCTTAGGTGGCAGAGTTGGGGCTTGGGTTTCTCTTTGGAGTTTACTTTCCTGCCCGTCCTTGATACGAGATATGAAACCATCATAGCTGATGCTTCCTGACACCTGGGTCCACACACAGCCTCCTGGAAAGAAGTGTCTAGAGCTGAGAGCAGGGACAGGATACAGCCCAGGGGTGCAGCAGCCAGGTAGGGCAGGCTGTTGCTGGCCTCAGACAGACTCCCCAAGCCCTGTGGCATGTCCTAACCAGGGTCTCTGGGACCCAGCTACATGACCTGGCAGGAAACTTCCTGAGCCTAGATGAGGGCAGGGGCACTTCCACAGGGCAGAGTGGACAGAGGACAGCTGTGTGCAAAACTCTTCAAAAGCGCTATCTGGCCTCTACTTCTTCCCACTCCCCTTAGGCTTTATTTCTCAATACCAGTCAAAATTCCCTTGTCAGAGATACAACCTAGGTTGCCAAACCCAAGGGACAGTGTTTTCCTTTGGCCTATCATCAGCCTTTGATGCAAATGACCATTTCTCCCTTGAACTTTTTTCCACTAGGCCTTAGACTGTGGACCATACCTGCTATCCTCTCACCTCAAATGGCCATTGTCCCCTCCATTGACCTCTTCAGCCTAGGAACTTGGAATACTCTGGGCTCTGCCTCTCCTGTTTCTCCAGCCCCCATTCCTGCCCTAGAGGGAGCTTACTGTGCCCGATAGCATGAGCTGCACTCAGGAGATCTCTTCCCCTACAAGTGGAAACTCCACTCTTCAGTTGCCAAGGGTGAAAACTTGGGAATCCTCCTTGATTCCTCTTTTTCTCACTCCCAACATCCAGTCTGTCAGCCATCCTGGGCTCTCCCTTCAAGACAAATCCAGAAGCCAACGGCTCCTCGCCTTTCTCACTGCCAGGATTATCCCTTGTCTGGATACTGCGATAGTCCCATTACTTCTCTGCCTTTACAACATTTTTTAAAAATGTTGATCAGATAGTTTTAAATTGCTGATCTGAAATATCCAGTGACTTCCCATCTCACTAGAGTACAGAGCCTCCTGGTAACCTTCAAGGCCTAGCAGTTCCCCGCCAGGAACTGCCTAGCTCTTATTTTCCCCTGGGGGCCTTTGCACAAGTCATTCATCCTACTCCTGCCCCCAAGCCTCTGTGGCTGCACCCTCATTCATGTCTCAGCTTAAAATCTCTTCAGGAGAGCTCTCCTTCTCTTACCTTTCTTTCTTTTCTGACTAGCACTTCTTGCTCCTCAGCATTTAATTATTCATTTGTTTGCCTCTCCCACTAGAATATAAGCAACTCCAAAGAGGGGGGAAAAAATCTCTCCTTTTAGAGAATCAGACAAGACTGCAAAACTTCTGTTTGCAAGCATGCATGCAGTCATGTCTGATTCTCTACATCTCCTGCTAGATCTTCAGCAGCAGGATTTATTGCATAGGTGTGTGGTAAATATGTGTTGACAGAATGAATGAAGATTCCCTCTCTCATTCTGCTGGAATGGGGTCCCCAATCCAGATGAGCCTTGCAAGACACTTTAACCTGCAGCCCAGAGGACACCTGTTTTTCTGGTAGGCTCTGGAATAAGAGGATGGACTTAACCCTGAGCCAAGAGGAGGAGGAGGGAGGCATTAAATTTCCCAAGATGCCAAGCACCAGACAACTCAAGTGAAGGCTCTGGCTTACACCTTGAGACAGCTCTGTCCTGTCACTGACAGAGACATCATTTAATGGTGAGGAAGTAGCATTGTGGTGCAGAAGGAGAAACAACCCCTATCTAGCCCACACACCAAGGGGGTTTATATATTTATTTTTTTATTTTTATTTTTTGGGGGTGGGGTACTGCAGACTGAACCTAGGGCACTTTACAAACTCAGAGCTTCATCCCCAGTCCTTTTTATTTTTTATTTTAAGAGATCTTGCTAGGTTGCTGAAGCTCTCCTCCAATTTGAAATCCTCCTGCTTCAACCTCTCGCATCACTGGGATTACAGGTGTATGCCATCACATCCAGCTTCAGTGAAGTTTTTTATTAGAATGTTTTGATTTACAGAAAAGTTGCAAAGATGGTACAAAGAGTGGCTGTAGGGCTGAGGATACAGCTCAGTGGTAGAGAACTTGCTTAGCATATGCAAGGCCCTGAGTTCCATCCCCAGGACCACAAAAAAAAAAAAAAAAGTGACTCTATACCCAGTCTCCTGCCCCCCAACTATTGTGAACATGTTATGTTTGTGTAGTAAAGTTGTCATAACTAACGGCACTTGCTGCTAATATGATGTTGCTGATGATGGTGACCTGGCTAAGGTGTTATCTGGGATTCCTCACTATGAAGTCTGTACCATATGGAAAGAAATCACTGAGCAGGGGACAAAATTGGGGGGAATGAGTTTACCTGCAGCATTTGGAATTCTTCTGTATGGCAGATTTCAGACTGATGTTTTGTTTTTTTAACAGATACAACATTTTTTAATACCTTCATTTTTTTTAATTTATCCATTTTTTTAATGTGGTCCTGAGGATCAAACCCAGTACCTCACACAAGCTAGGCAAGTGCTCTACCACTGAGCCACAACCCCAGCCCCAGACTGATGTTTTAAACAACTTCTTTCATCACCCTGATGCTGTGTCCAAGGACAGAGCATTAGTAGCTATCATGTCACCTCTCAGGCATGTTCTTTGAGCCAGGCCTCTGCTGAGCACTTCACATGATTTGCTAAATTGAGTCCTCAGCCCTTTAATATCAATGCTACAGCCGCCTCCTTTGTGCAAGGTCAGAGAGCCACCTCTCCCAGCTCTTGGTCCTCACAGCACAGTCAGCTCAATCCTCATCTGGCCAGAGTGGGACTCCTGCTTCCTGGCACTCCTCCCCACATCTCCCCAATCTTAGTAAATGGCACCAGTATCCATCCTGATACTCAAGCCAGAAACCAGCTCATCCGGCACGGCCCCTCTTCCCAACTCATCAGTGACCCTATCCGTTCTGCTTCCCAGATTGCTCCCAAACCTATGCAGTACCTTTCCCAGGTTGGAGCTCTGCAGTGCCTAAGTATGACGCACTGAGGTGACACTTCACCTCTGAGATCTTCCTAAAATCTCGAACCTCATTGTAGGCATAAGAAAAATATCAGGCTTGGATAATGGTGCATGCCCGTAACCCCAGTGGCTTGGGAGACTGAGACAGGAGGATCATGTGTTCAAAGCCAGCCTCAGCAATGCAGTGAGGCCCTGACTCTAATAAAAAATTTAAAAGGGGGGCTGGGAATGTGGCTTAGTGGTTAAATGCCTCTAGGTTCAACCCCAGTTGAGGAACAGTTCAAAGAGTACCTGACTTGTATTCCTCAAAACTGGGGAACACTGGGGTTATGTTATAGCTCATTGGCAGAACATTTGCCTCACATGTACCAGGCCCTGGGTTGGGATATAGCCCAACCATGTCCTTCAGGCCACAGGGTCTGGCTCCAGTTACCTTCTCCCTAAGGCTCTCACTTGAGTCACATGGCCCTGTCCATCATCACAGACATCTAGTCTCACTGGGCCTAAACTATAGTTCTTCCTAGCTTGCAGAATCATTCCTTTTCCTTCGAGCAGCTTCCTGTTGTGGTCCTCTGAGAGGTTTCCCCACCTCCCTGAAGCCCAGCTGTTGTCAGTCTCTCTTGGCCCTTTGTTCAATCACAGTTCACTGTCATCTGCAGTATTTTTTGCCACCTTGAGAAAGAGTAGGGCCTTAAGACCCTTACCAGACACAGATCAGCTGAGTATCCATATTTCTTTTTTTTTTTTTTTTGAGATGGGATCTCACTATGTTGCCCAAGGTAGTATTGAACTTGACCTCCTGGGCTCCAATGATCCTCCATCTCAGCCTCCCAAATGCTGGAACTACAGATATATGCCACCAAGCCTGGTAAGGAACCAGATTTCAAACCCAGGTCTTCCATCTCCTGATTATCTCAACCCTCCATACGCCCAGGAGTCATGAGGTTCCTGCTGTGGGTCAGCTCCTGTCCTAGGTATGCTGACACAAGGATGCACACACAGTTGGATCCCTACCTTTTCAGGCAAGCAGGGGAAGAAGTGAACAAGTGTCACACAGCGCTACAGGATGCACAGGAAGGACATCTAACTCAGACTGGGAGCATCCAAGCCGTCCCAAGGGAAATGACACCTGAGTGGTGTCTTTTAAGACGCCTGACAAGCTGGATGTTCTGGTACAAGAACCAGCATGTAAAAATCAGATAAGAGTGCAACCTATGCTGAGAACCACATATGGTTCAGTGTGGCTGAAAGGGATGGTGTCCTGCAGAAGAGAAAAGAGCCCAGGGCATGAGGACCTTGTGGCTACTATTATTACTTAATATTAAGGTAAGTGCAGTGGCTCACACTTGTGATCCCAAAACTCAGGAGGCTGAAGCAGGAGGATCAAGTTTGAGGTCAGTCGCAGCTACTTAAATAAACCCTGTCTCAAAAAAAAAAAAAAAAAGGCTGGGGATGTGGTAGAGTGTCATGCTTGCATGCATGAGGCCCTAGGTTTGATCCCCCCCCCCAAAAAAATAGTATTATTATTATTATTATTTTTTTTTTTTGGTACCAGGATTAAACCCAGGGGCATTTAAGCACTGAGCCACATCCCCCAGATCCTTTTTATATTTTTTTTAGAGACAGGTTCTCACTGAGTTACTTAGGGCCTTGCT